TCCATTTTGGCATGTGGAGAATGAATAAAGGCCAGTTTCTAAGTCAGACTCTGCCATTTCTTAGTTCCAACTTTCGACAACTTCCTTAAGCTATAAATCTCTTGTATCTGTGAAATAATAGCAGTATGTGTATCTTGCAATGTACGGTGGATGAAAGCCCTTCAGGCGCTCATTCAATGGCAGCTTTCCTTCCCATCACCCTGCACTAGGCTGTTCAAAACCATTCATTGTCTATCCAGACATCTACCCACCTATGACGACAAGTTTTGTTCCTCTACTGAAGTCTTTCTTAAATAATTCCACAGTGATTCAGCCCCTAACAAAAACTTTAGTCTATTTATCTGACCTCTTCAAATTCTATACAGGGAAGAAGATCATCTAATATTCCTAAGAGAACAGGATTCCAGTTCCTGTTCATTTTTCTCAGAACAAGTTCTGTGGATGAGCAAATAAAGTAATTCAAAAAGTTTTTGGTGTTCTTTTTATCCAAAAACAATGATGTTGAAGTTAATGAATGTAAGTAACATCACTACCAGCACTGAAATAAGACCAAATTGAACCAAAATAAGAAAAAAGCAATTCAATTAATATGTAAAAAGAAGCCTGCATGGTCCCGACAATTATCATCATCATATTTGTTTTTATTAGCATTTTGGTTGCTATACTTATGCACTCTAACAAGACATTAGAATGTCAGATCTTCTTAAGAATAGAAACACAGCATTTTGGAGTTGCGGTTAGACCCTTGTCAATTGAGCAAGAAGAATCATTTCTCGGTTCCCCCATTTGGATTTTATTTGGCACAAACATGCCTGAATTTTCATGCTGTCATAAAAAGAACTGTGCCCTTCACACATCCAGACTTCAATAAAAGATATTTCTCCAGACATTTCTCTTGTCTGCTCTGCAGTCTTTCAAGTGTTAAGTAATCAAGTGAAATCTTGGCTAAAGCCTAACAAATGTAGTCAAAATATGGGATTATTTTTCCAAAATACACAAATGTGCTGTCCAAAACAAATGACTCTTCACAATCAAAAACACAACACATTTGGACTCCAAGCTTTCACCAAGAAATTCAGTCTTAAACTAAGTCTATCCAGCTCATGTCAAAGTTCAGTTTGAAATTCTGGTCGTGGCCTTTTGAGACAGAATGGGTAGAGAAATGGCCAGAATCCGGGTCCTCAAAGCCACCTTCCTACTGTCACCTTGGATCACAAACTGCAATCTGTCTTCCTCTGCTTGGGGTCTCCCTGTGTGCACGACATTAAATGCTACAATATCCTCAGCATCGGTGCAGGGGGCTACACATGAGCACGTTTACAGCCCGTGTCTTCCACTTTCCAGAGTGAGTGTGGAAGGCGGTGCCCCCTCTACTTCACTTTCCTCCCAAAAGACTCTTGATTGAAGTACTTTTCTAATTTCTATAGTGAAAAAATGCATCACATTTGAGAATCTGGAGTCTTTCATTTTATCACTTAATGAAAAGTTTGTACTCTACTACGTTTTCCTCCTACCCTTCAACATAAAATTGTACCCTGTTCCTCTTGCTAGGTAATCAAAGGTCTATTTTCTTCTTTACTTAGAGTTTTTTGTTTATTTATTTTATGGCCTGACTGTATGGCATTATTTTATTTTAGGCCTTCTCAGATAGATTTTGGAAATAGTTTTAATAAATGAGAAATAGTTTGTCCATTATAGCATGTTTTGTTTTTAAAATTTTGCAAGTACTATCAATTAAGATTTTAAAAATTTACATAAGTGGACATTTGACGATTTTACCTATAGCTTGATAATTTTATTATTTAAATTGAAAAATCCTTTTGTAAAAAATATTTCTACATATTCTACTGAAAATTAAGTATTATATTTAAGCAGAAGATATTTTAGATAATGCATGTTATGTCATATTTTTATCTTTTTTAGAAGCCCATAGTAATTAGTCCTAGCAACAGGAAGCATTTGCAAACACTGACCATTTTTTTTCTCAAATGAGATACAGACTGTTTAATTCTCTAATCTGTACTTCAGAGTTCACAAACACCACAAGCAGATGGCTATTTGAATTCTGAATGAAGAATTAGTAGTTCTGTCACCAGTCAAGTCCAGCCATTGTGCTAGGAAATTTTCACATTTAATTCGACTATATCTTTACTAATATTCTCTAATATTCACTTGAGATGAACAATCTCCAATATCTTCACACTACAGATCAATTAACAATCAGAAGTTTCAGTATTTGCTTAATTATTGGATCACTTTAAGGACTTTTAAAAAGTGTTTATAAATTGGTATGGCATGAAAAGTGCCAGATCCATTGTTTCATATCTAGTATTTGCAAAAAGAAAATAGAACATGCATAAAGTGACTGAATACAAGTAACACAAAATATACATTTTAAATTTTATGGTTATATATTTTCTGGTGTTTCTATGGTAAGCATTTGTTGTAGTTTCAGGAAGGCAATAACTGGCAAATGAAAATGTACTTGCTCAACGATGGTTGTAGAGAGTGTTAGCCCCAGGAGTCAGACTGCAGGATGAAAGCATGTGTCTTTCATGCATGACTATAAATGGTCCGAGGACCTATAGATGGTTCTCAGAGAGATTATAGGTTATACCTCTGTCAAGGTTATTTCATTTGATGACCAGAATACACATAAGGCAATTCAAAAAGGGAAGACCAAAACTTTTCTTTGCAATTAGCAGTGTATTTGTTCATCTGATCTCAACCACTAAAAAAAAAAAAAAAAAAA